TTATATGAGTATATATAGCGTGTATGGGTATATAACTGATTTTTTTGAAGTCAACATAATTTCCTGATTAGTCAGCCACCTCTGTTACTTCTCATTTTAAAAGCTCTCTTCCAGCTATAAAAACCCTGTGAATTTTACTTTGCCTCCTGGCACTTTGAACGTTGAATACCTTAGGAAAAAATGCAATCACAGCCAACTTTCAATCCACACTAATATCCACACTCAACTCGTCATCTGTACGCTATTCCTGAGCAAGAGGTCAGGTACTTGGGAAAAGGCCTTTCTCCCTACTGCCTGCCTCTAATGTGTTTTAAACAGGGGCCTACCTGACTAAAACAGGTCCCATCAAGTGCTGTCATCTACCTTGGAATTCAGAGGAAGGGTGTGAGAGAAAGGTGAAACAGATTGGATAGAAGGCAACAGTAACAAACAGCTAAAATGTTACTGGTACTCAATAAATACCTAGTGAATTGAATGTTCTCATTCTTTCTTCAGCCTTTCTAACCTATCTTACCCATTTATTTCCAGCATACAGAGAGGACAGTGGTAAGGAGTAACAGACTAGAACCTCAGGAGCTTGTAGAAAGACGCTTGGCTCTGAGTGTGTGTTCTGAGACCTTGTGTCTGAGGGGATCTCAGGAGGGGCTGCCAACCCATTGCGTCTTTCTGATGTAGTTCCTTTTCTTCTGTCTTCTTCCCTATTGATACTGGTGCTATAACAGGCACACTGGTTAGATCAAGTACAAGTTAAACAAGTCTAAGTAATATCTACTAAAAATATGTATTCTGTATACAGGTAGTACACTTTTAAAAATGCTTCTGGAATATTTCAAAAATTTAAAGATAAACTCCCCAAAGAATGTACTTATACACATATTCTGTTTTTGATGCTGTAAAAATGAAGATAAAAATTTAAAAAACCCAAAACCCTACCATCCACATTTAAAAAAATCCCAAGAAAAAAGAAAAAAAAATCCCATTATTTGGAAAAAGCAAAGAGGGGGGAAAACCTGTTTAAAAAATATTTGGGCTGGGCTGGGGGCATGGCTCAGTGGTAGACACCTGCTTTAGCAAGTGTGAGACCCCGAGCTCAAACACCAATACTACCAAAAAAATTCAAAAACTCCTTTTGATTAAAGGAGGAAATCAAAATAGAAACTTAAGGACTGGGGATGTCACTTGTCACTTAGTGACAGAGCACTTGCCTAGTAGGCATGAGTCCCTGGTTTCCATTCCCAGTCCCACAAAATGAAATTTAAAAAAGCCCTAAACCCCTGAAACTTAAATAACACCTAGAAAACAGGACTGGGGCATGGCTCAAGTGGCTAAGCTCCCTGAGTTCAAACCCCAGTACTGCTAAAAAAGAAAAGAAAGAAAGAACACCTGAAAACAACATTAAGGCATCTAAATTATTTAGCTTAAGCAGCAGTACTCAACTAAATCTATGCCTCAAATATCATACTAATAATTAAGAAAAAATGAATTGCTACCACGGAGTTAGGGAAAAAATAAGAAAATAAACTAAAAAAAGCAAAAGGTATAGCATTCATTGAAGTGGAAATCAACTAATTAAAAAGCACAAATATTACAGAAGAGACACAAGGTGTGATGCTTTGGGGAGAAATAAAATACGTGTGCATGCACACACAGACAGAAATAGTCAACTATTATCTTTTGGGGGTGGTACAGGGGTTTGAACTCATGGCCTTGCTAGGCAGGTGCTCTGCCACTTGAGCCAAGCCTCCATCTCCTGGCCCCTCACTTCCTTTTTCAGACAGGTTTTGTTTTGTTGCCCAGACTGAACTCAAACTCCTGGGCCCAAGTGATCCCCCTGCCTTAGCCTTTGGAGTTGCTGGAATTACAGACACATATCACCACACCTGGTTATCATAATCAAGAAATGAGGAGTGAGCACAAAGCATAGAACATAGGGGAAAAGAGACCAATATACAAAAAAGACAGAACTTTGTTCAACTCTATGCAAATGCACTTGAAGATTTAGATGAATAGGTGGTTCCTGATAAGATTAAAAAAAAAAAAACTAGATGAGAATTATCACAGAAGGCAGAAGATTGTCAGAGTTACTTGTCAAGTATCTACCAGTCCCAGGTAATTTCACAGAACTTTTAAGGAACAGAAAATTGCAATGCTATTTAAACTGTTCCAGACCATAGGAAAAGGAAAGTTTCCAAATACACAGCATAAAATACAAATCTCCTCAAAGATAACACGTGTACACACATACATACCCATCTATGGACTAATTTTGCCAACAAAGAAAGTAGGAAACACAATCTAGCAATATAGTAAAAAAAAAAAAAAAAACTATATGGCCAAGTAGTTTATTTGAGGAATGCAAGAATGATGGTTTAAAATTACAGAACATGGTAATAAAATTCATCATACTAGGGTCAAAGGAGAATCGTACGTGCATCCCCACAGATTCTGAAAAGGCACGTGATAAAATTCAGCATGCATTCTTTAAAAACTTGTTTAAAACAGGGATTAATAGGATTAACGTAAGTGGGATCAACATACTTCACTGTAGCCAGTGTTATTTAATATTATTTGAAGCACTACACAATCCAATTAAATAAGACACAAAGAGGTATGGATAGAGGAACAAAGGTTACTTAATGTTTTCAGGTGACATGATTGTGTAGTTGGAAAACACTGAAATACTATTACAAACTATGAGAAAATGAAGTCTGGAGGAAAAAACCATAAAAAAACATAAAATCATTAACCTTTATGTATACTAAAGTTAGGCTAAGTAACATAAGTAGTAAATGGAAAGGACTTTACTAGTAATGGTAACAAAATTGATGAAATTTCTAAGGATGCATGAGATCTCTGTCAAGTAAAATATATCAGAAGGAAATAAACACCACAAAGACTTTAAATGAATGGTGCCACTTTTAGAGGGCACCATAATTTAGATAAAAGGCTTTTAATTTAATATGATAATGGTGTCAAATTCTCCTAAGTGAATGTATAAAATTAAAACTGTCCTGACAAAAAAAGTTTTGAGGCATCCAGGAAGTTAACTTTATATTCAAATGTAAACATAAGAATACCTGAAGATATTTCAAAATGATTATTAAAATAATGTAGTATTGGTACAAAAAGAGATGGGCAGGTCAAGGGGAGAGAACAGAATTAGGATCTAGACACATAGCCAAATAATGTGGAAACTGGTCATATAAAAGTTCCATTTCAAATTAATAACAAGGAATTATTATTTAATAAGTAGCTTTGGGAAAACTATATAGCCACCTGGAAAAAAACAGGGAAGCCCTGAATTTAGACAAATTATTGCTTTAAAGGTAAAAGGAAAAAAATCAGGTAATAGAGATACTCAAACTTATATATTCAAATTGTAATGATGTGTTTCCACTTAAGAAAAGTTACTGAAAACCGTGAACAGTATAATCTGTATTATAATGTATGGTATTAATATGCATGGATATGTTTATGCACTGTTATGTCAAGTATATTCTGGAGACATATACAAGAATCTGGTGTTGGTAAGTGTCTCCTGAAATGGAACTAAAAGATGGATGCATGGGTAGGAGAGAAACTTTTTACTATTTGAATCAGGAAATTATAATAAAGAAATAAATTATAAAAATATGCCAGTACCAAGTGCAAGGCCTGGTTCAATCCTAAGCACTGAAAAAAAAGTCAGAAAATAAAAGCAAAAACTCTATAGTGGATAATGTATTATTTGCTAACCTGAATTCTGCCAAAAGAATATTCTGCAGGAGTCTGAAATGTATGTGAAAATAATATAAAAAGAGAACTGATTGTGTTATTTTATCTTTACAATACATCAATTGGGAAGCAGCTTTCTTAAAGGCAAAATAATATGCAGGTTTTTAGGGAATTTTACTGTGAGTACTGGTGTAAGATGCTACTTTACTACAAAGGAGACTATACCTGCTTTAATTTCTTCTACATATATTGCATATTTTATGACCTGAATCTATATATGCACCAAATTCAACAAAAATAAAGAACAACTTTGATTTAAAAAGTACCTCAAGGCAATAAAAAAATCATTTTAATTTTTGATACATATTAAAACATTTTAGTCAGTTCTTCCTGACAGCATAACAGGACAAATACACATACCTCAAACATGCTTTAAAATGACATTCAGCAAAGTATTTAAAATTTAATAAATAGCAATAACCACACACAAATACATTTTTCATACTCATTAAGCTACTAAAACAGATATAGCTAAATAATAAATAAACAGGAATTGAAAAAAATGGAGTTTTACAATTCACTCTACTTAAAAAGGGGGGAGGCAATCTGAATTCTTCAATTTGCTTTTCTTCAAGATTATAGCATGAACCCCCATGAATATTGAAAAAAAATCACTTTTACAATAATGCAGTTTTTAAATACAACAAATAAATATGAAACCAGTAAAGCAATTTCAAGTTGTAACAAAAGTGGTCCCCCAATCCCCCCAAAAGCTATGGAAATATATAGTCACTGTGGTAGCAAAGAATACTATTTAAAGTGATAGTGCCTGTGCACTAAACTCATCTGAGACCTCGATATGATGTTAGTGCAAATCCCTAGGGTCCAATACAAGCATAACCCCATACTAGGGAAAGACATTACCAGTTGAAACTTACGTACAATTTTTGTACATAGTTTATAAAGTTCAAGATTTAATGCATAGTAGAATATCTTCATCCATTTTATTCTGTCCCTAAATAGAGATGAAAACAGAAATGACTTGGGATTTTACCATTTGGTTTGTACCATATTAGAATATTAAAGTCAGCATTAGAAAAACCTATAAAATTTTTGTTCTTGCCATTAATTTATCTAACTACCTAAATGTCACATTACTGTATGTTAAACATAAGAGAAAAATTTTGAAGAACTTTTTTTTCCCTTTGATAAGTTAGTATTATGATGAAATTCAGTAACAGACAAATGTTATGCAAATAAGAAGATGAGTATAAGGGTTTGTTTTCTTTTTGTACATTAATAACTTTAACATCTAGCATAATAAGTTATGTGTTGTCAAAAGCATAAGATTCAATTAAAAGATACTATTTTGCACAAACAAACCTTTTAACATAGGATAGGTAAAATGACGGTCAAATATTTGAGTTTAAGCAGCGCCTTTCTATGGTGAACTATAGTACCAGGATGAAAACGGGTAAACATAATTGGAAGAACATTACTGAACGAAATGAACACATAATGCATTTTTAGCTACTAAAATTGTGAACTCTAAATTCATAGAGTTACAAGTTGTTAATTTAACCATGCAGGCTAACATAATAAGAAATCACCCTGCGTCTTTTGTTTTTAAACTAAAGCTAATTTAATAGTAACATTACAAAACAATGAATGGATATTGCTCCAACTTGTATACAATCTCTCTTATGTGATTCGTACCTTAACAAGGTAACAAAGCCTCATCATCACTTGTCTCATTTTTCAGTGCTGCTTCTAAGCAAGTGTCCGGTATCTGGGCAGTATGGACAATACCACAGCGCTCACATGGGCCATCTCGATTACTTGGCCTTACTCCAGGGTTTGTTGTGCTGTGTGGTTGTCTAAACCCTTGTCCTTGATCTGAGGCAAGATCAAGAAGGGGTCTGGAGCAGTCATTGATATCAGTGTCTGAAGCCCCATCAGAAACTGGAATTAGCATCTCGACATCATCATCTTCATCTCTTCCATTCACTCCATTATCAAGTTGTCTCAAAGGACTCTGGCTCTGATTTATAGAACTAGATCGACCTAGTGTAAAACGTACCCAACGTAGCCCCTGAGTCATACGACTTAAAGCACTTGAAAGCTGGTGTCGTCCTGGACTCACGCTTTGGGGCTCCCCACTGGCCGCATCCCTTCCATGATCTGTCTGACCACCTCGGGTGCTCTGAGTTGAGGAACTTCCACCTGCTCCCACTGCTGCCTCCACTGCCGTTGTGGGAGGGACCTTCTGGGGCAAAGGCGCTGCAACCCCACCAGACGCTCCTGCTGAATCTCTTCTTTCATTTTCTGTGTCTGTGTCATCAGACTCCACAGAAAACAAACTTCTGTGAGTATTTCGTTCAGGGTCTCTGCTGGTATTCTGACTAGGGACCACCTCATCTCCATCTGCTGAGACCAAAGCCAAAGACCCTGAATGACGTGATCTTGCAAAGTTAAAAATACGATTCCAGATGTTGCTGGATCTGCCTGCCATAGGAAGCCTGATTGAAGTAAATCCAAGCTGAGATCGGACAGCTAGCCGGAGGTTTTCCAAAACAGAAGCCTACAAAAATAAGAAAAGATCTTGAAGACTGTTAACGAGGTATTAAGATGGGAAGCACTCTTTAATAAGAATGTGCTGTTGCTAAACGTTCTAGTACTCATTAGGGTTTATGGAGGATGAATTACATTCTCTCACCAGTATAGGTTCATTCTACCGCAGAATCTACTGCATAACTTCAATCATTATTGACTATGTTTAAGCTTTTTCTTTTTTTGGCAGCACTAGGGTTTGAACCTAGGGCTTTGTACTTGGTAAGCAGGTGCTCTTAAGCCATGCCCTCATCACTTTTTGCTTTGTTTTGTTTTTTGGATAGGGTCTTGCACTTTTGCCTAGGCCCACCTATGGACAGTGATCCACCTACTTACATCTCTTGCATAGGTGGGATTACAGCTGTGGACTACCATACCTGACTTGTTTGTTGAGATGGAGTCTTGTTAGTTTTTTTGCATGGGCTGACCTCAAACCAGGATCCTCCTGATCTTTGCCTCCTGAGTAGCTGGGATTATAAAGTATACCACCATATCCAAGTCCCTTTAAAATTTTTTTGATACTTCATTTTATGTATTTAACTTAACAGTTATATTTAATATCAATTATGTTATTTTGTCTCAAGATCTTATGTAGTAATCCAATTCTAAAACTATATGGAAGGTAGAAAATAAAATTGTTTGATACTTCCACAACTACGAAGAGAGACAATCTTCTACCGTGCTTTACTGAGTGACCATGTGTGAGAACCAGGCCCTTTAAGGTTTGTTTTTTTAAAAACATTAGTTAGACTTGGTTTACAAGGCTGAACTGTCCTAAATGTGAGAATTTCATGGACTTGGTTCTCAAGGATTTGGTTATATTGTTATAGAAAAAGGAATTCCTACGTTTGTTATACAGCACAGAAACATCACAAAAGCATCCCGGTATTTGGATTCCTTCTTATCTTTAAGGATGGTTTCATTTTCTCCAGTTTAGGATTAAGCATAAAACAAATCATTGCACCTCTATTCTTTGAGACACTGGTGACTTCTAATTAGTACATATGGAAAGTATCTCGCTCACCTGAAAAAAAGTCTATTCTTTTTTTCTAGATGAACACATTAAAAAAAAAAAAAAAAAAGCATTTAAGTAGTCTTTAAGCTCCACCTAGTGGTTATACAGGAGTATTCAAACTTGGAACAGCTCTAATCAAGCTGGCATTTAGCATTTAAAATACAGTATTTCTAGGAAACAATGGTGTGTTGATATACTCTCTTTCAAATGAGAATTAGTTCCCCTCTGCCAAAACTCAGTCTCTTGCCTTTCCCCTCACAGGAAAAAGAAGGGAAGTGAAGGAAGATGTAACAGCTATGTTCTTCATCTGTCTTTGTGACTAGTACTGCATTTACTTGTGATGCTTATGTAGGCCTTTTCCATGTGGCGGGAATGTAATTCATTGAATGCTAAGAGCTACTGTCAGAGCAACATTTCACAGTCCAGCTTCAGTAAGAAATGTGGGTATCAGCACACATGGGCCTGCAGTAGACATGAATAAGACTTTGTAACCAATTAAGAGATACATAACAAAAAAGTTAAAAAGTGGACCATATCCTTGCTGAACTTCCCCACGAACCTGGTCATCAGCATTTAGCACTCAAGCTGCATGGCTTTATGTGAGCGCAAGGCTGTGCGCAGAAAGGCTCTTCATCCAGATAGCCTACTGTATTCTGATCTATCACCCATAGAGATCAACAATCTTGAGAAGACTTCAACATTACAGTCTTATAGTGTGTGGTAAAGAATTCCATCTTACTCAAAGCCCCTAACCTTGGCGGCTTTTGGAATGCCATGCCTGACAGAAGTGTCTTTGCCTGGAGGCCTTGGGTCGGCCAGATAGAAACACCATGACTTAAGGTGGAAGCTTTGGGTCAGGTGGTATCAGTCAGTATCAGGAAGGACTGGAGACTGAGATTACATTAATTATATGACAGATCTCAATAAAACGTCTGGGCAGGTGAGCATCCCAGGTCAGTAATATTCCCTGCATGCTGTCACACACTGGCACCAATGGAGCACTGCTCTCCTGTCTCATGTGCAAGGACAACTGGGAGGTCTGTGTTTAATACCCTCCTGAAGGCTGACCTATGCAACTCTTCCCTAAGCTATTGAAATCTATACACAATTGAAATCTATATGCAATTTAAACAGCTTCTAAGAGGGAGTCCTTCTGGTGAAACCTGAGGGTAGCTGGGGAACTCTCTGAACTTGCAGTTGGTATCGAGAGAGAGGGCAGTCAGTCTTGTGAGGACTGTGCTCCCTCTAACGTCACAGACTCTAGGGGTGGGGTGGTAGATGATGGCATGCGTGAATGGAATTAACCATTACAGAGAAATCTTCCCATGGAAGGGCCAACAATATAAAGAAGCCACAATTTAGATTTTTTTTTTCTATTTTGCACACAACATTTCAAACAGTAGAAATTCTGAATTACAAATTAGATCTTAAGAAATATTCGAAAACTTCAAATTTTCACCAGACTTTCTAGAAGACTCAAATAAGGTGAAAAAGCCTAATCAGAAATCTCACATACTTAAAATGAAAGTATTACATTTTGAACGGGATTAACTCATTGAGAACACAGTATTTACCAATTTTTCTTAATTCTAATATTGAGGACAATTTTTATAAATGTTTCTGGATAAATTTACAATTTAAATGTATATAAACCCATATTCCTAAAATGAATCTTGGCACATTTTTAAGCCCTGAAAAAGAAATTTTAAAAAGCTGCTAAAGAATTCAGACATACTTTCAAAGAATGAGATACTCTGGAAAAAATGTAAAATCCAGCTTGAAGTTTTCCCTCAAGTGTGGAGGAATGTTAATTTTAGTTATAACTGGTTAATCTGACATGTAACATTACTAGTATTAATTTTAATATTCATTCTTAAGTCTCTAAATATTCAAGTAGAAAATAATTTGTCAGTTACTTCTGAATTTTAGTACATTAAATTATCCTAACAATAAAATGCTTAAGAATCATAACCAAATCAGAAGAATAAAAAGCAAGACTTTTGAATTTTGTAGTGTTTTAAAAAATATAATGACAAAAATTACATTTTCACATTCTCTCTATATTTAATCCTTCATTTAATTGCAAATTCCTAACAATCACAGGCCCCTGCTTTATCACGCATTCAAGTATAAATTACATTTTATGAGGCAGTGAAAATTAGAAATTGCAGCATACCTGATTAGGTGAGCAAACAGGAAAATCTTCCACTGGTGGAATTAAACCCTGAGCAATCAGCTGCCCATAAGAGGGAGGGGCTTCCCTGCGTAGCAATTCTGCTTCTACTCTTGACAACTGGGTCTCAAATGATCTTTCAGTGCAGATAAGGAAATGAAAAGGGTTTTAAAAAAAGGCAAGTAAACAGTAATTTTCTATTATCAGTAACTAAAACAACCTGGATCTTAGTATATTTGATTATTTTTAAAGCTTAGTTGTTCAACAAATCTTTTTTTACTCAGTGCAGATAAGGAAATGAAAAGGGTTTTAAGAAAAGGCAAGTAAACAGTAATTTTCTATTATCAGTAACTAAAACAACCTGGATCTTAGTATATTTGATTATTTTTAAAGCTTAGTCATTCAACAAATCTTTTTTTACTCAATGTCTGTATTATCCCTATACTGGGAATATAAAGTGGACAGACTGTCCACATGAAGCTTTTCATTAGCAGGATCCTGGATCACTACATTTTAATAGATTAGAAATCTCTATAAAAGGTAAAGGGAGAAAAACAAATATTAGATTTTTAAACCCCAAGGAAATGGGGAGGAAGCCTGTATAGTCTGGGTGACATTAGTTGGAAGGTCTCACAAGACACTTCATTTGAATCCAACACATTTCTTTTCAGATAAGAAAGAGCAAAATGAATCAGCAATTCACTTCTGGAATAGCTGATCTCCAACTGAAATCCTGACTCTTCACTGTGCTCTTTTTGTTGTGACGTGGTACAGAGAGTTCTCTGGCCAGTAGCTATTGTGAGAGTGCGCATCTCTGTGCCATTTGTTAGCTTGGCTGTCTGGTATGTTCTTCGTTAAATCTATTATTTGTGACTCTGCTGGGACTGAAGGTCATAGTCTCCACAATAGTCTAGTAGGGAACATTTCTACCAGTAACTTCTTTCTCTCAGGTCCAGTGAGCACTGCATTCACTAAGCACTGCCCTCCTGAAGGTCACTCTTATAATCGTCAACTGTTTCTTGCTGAAGTGAGGACTCTACAGCAGAGCTCCCACTAAACTCTATCATATGACACTAGTCTTGTGTTCCACTCTCTCATTTCCTGTCAGTTCTTCCTATATCTCTTAGGCTCCAGACAAACTTAATTCTACACTGACTCTGGGCAGTGCAGGGTATTCCTACTTGTGTGTTTTCTCAGGCCTTTCTTTTTTTTAGCTCAAATACCTTTTCTGTATCAACGTTCTATTCACATTTCAAACAGTACTTCTCCAAGTAAAGCCTTCCACATCCCAATCACATTAAGTGTTTTTGACCTTTATATCACTTCATTTTGTAGTTCTTACAACACTTATATTTTGTAGTCTTATTCCATATACTAATTTCTTCCTTCTAACTGTAAACTGCTTGTGAAATTATCCCTTATTCATTTTTCTTTTCATTCATAGAGTGCTTTGAACATGGTAGGCTCTCAAATGTGGAATTACTGAATATTTATAAAACCTCAGGTTAAAAAATTACAACTGAGACTTGCAGGTTGCAAAAATCCTATAAAACAAGATTAATCTGAAAATAGGAGGTGGTAAATTTCATTGGCTTTTTCACCTCATGAATCTAAGTATCTAGTAGTTTGTAATGTGGTTAGCCTAGGGTCCTAGACTCTTCATACCAATTTTATAAATGCTAAACAGTATTAACATATTTCTGAAGTAACATAAAACAAAATATATTGCTAATCACATTGCAGGACTTGTGACAAACAGGGGCCACGCTGCTGCTGCAGAGAGTGTAAATACTGTGATTTGCCTTGATACTGACCTTCGTTCAAACATTCTCAGAGAATAAAGCTTACAAGTACATCCCAGTGCGATAACAAGTAGCAGGCCACAGATGAGGCTCCCTATGACAGCTGCAGTTATCACTCTGGTAGGCACGATAACTGGGCAATTCTCCTCATCGCTGCCATCACCACAGTCATCTTGAGAATCGCACACCCAGCTTTCAAACACACAGCGATTGTTTTTACAATGAAAATTTCCTGGCTGGCAAAAAAAGCAGTTTTTTTCATCTGAGCCATTTGGACAATGATTTTGGTAGTTGCAGCGGTCAGAACGAGGATAACAGACACCATTTCGGGAACATGGAAATTCTTCCTTTTGGCACATTGTGCAATTGATTTCATCCCTTCCATTTGGGCAATGCCAATACCCATCACATCGCTGCTGTTCAGTGTAACACCCCCAGTTACCTCCACAGGGTATTTCCCATGGCAAACAGAAGCCATCTACTTGGTAGGTAGCATTAAAACCCCTTGCAGCATTCACTTTATCAGCACAAAAATGTACTCTTATCTGTCCAGAAGAAGAAACAACTGTAAGAGGTGCATGAGAATCAAAAGCAGTCAACACACGCAAAAGCTTATGTGGATTTTCCTCTAATCCATCATATATTTTGACATAATCACCATAACCGGTACCATCGAGTTTAAAGTCAGTGAAGCGTAAAATGACTTTACGGTGATCACCAGTGTCTATTAACCATGTACAATTGCTTCCAGGAGGATAAAAGTCTGGATAATTGGGAGAATTAAAAGTACCATAAAAATATTTTAACCACTGCCCACAAGTTGGCACATCACAGTCTATCTCATCTCCTAGGTCAAGGCAATCAATATTCCCATCACATTTTAAAGATTCAGGGAGGCAAGTGTAAACTTTGGTAAAACGGGACAGACACTGGAACTGGTTGTAAGTGCAGGGCTGAAAAGAAGCAGTTGTTGGAGGATTAGCTTCTTTGGCACAGATGTCTTCGTCGGAGCTATCTCCACACTCATCCATGTTATTACATTTCCAGGCTTCTGGTATACACTTTCCATTACCACAACGAAACTGATCACAAGCACAGTTTGGCTCCTCAGATTTCCCTGGGAGAATGTGAGTAAAGGGAGATGGAGGAAGAAAACATATTCTTCAGAAAGTATTTTTATAATAAATATTAAGCCCAGGTGGCAAGGCTTTAAAAAATCTTGTTAATATAGGTTAAGTTCTAATGACAAATTAGTACTAGACCAAATTACTCAACAATTCAATTTATGAAATGGCTATTATTTTTTCTCTAAATAGAGAAGGGGTCAAGTCTGTTTCTGTAGAAAGCAGAGCATTTAGTAAAATGATGTAACATATATGAGCAATAGGATGTACTGCCTAAGAATTTTAAGTAACACTGTCTAAACACTGACATTATGATAGACATTTAAAAAAATTTCATCTAGAACAATTACCTTTCAAACATTATTTTCATATTCTTCTGAGTCTTGTCTCTCATTGCACACATGCAACACATTATTTTGCTGTATACATCATAGCACATTTTGCAAATTCATCACTCAAACTTAGCATAAGAGTAACTTTAAACTGTTTCATGCAATCATAATAAACTACTTGCACTTTATAATTTCTATTTTTTAACACAACTGCAAAATATTACATGAATTTAAGCTAAAGGTGTAAGTTGTTCATCAAAATAAAACAAAGGGAGGGAAAATAAACTGAAGTTGCTAATAGAATTCTAATTACTTTATTATACCATCTTAAATATTCAACAAAATGACATAGGAGAAGATAAACAAACAACATCAGATTCCTACAGTCCCCAATGCCTATTTCTCCACTAAAAAATATTTATTGCTAAAAGAGTGAAAGAAAATGTGCTTCAGAAGGTAAATATTATAAAGACTATGATTTTAAGAAAAAATATGTGTAGCTATTGCTCTAAATTTTTCACATTGGTATGATCTAGTCACTCCTTCAGGACCAGCAAAGCAAAAAACATTTTTCTTCTGAGACTACAAAATATAAAGGTGAAATTGGTCATGTCTTTTCTTTGAAGGTATAAAAATTCACACACACAAGTATACGGTGAAGTAATTTTCAGGATATGGTTAAGTACTCGAGGGAGATAGCTATTTTTAAAATAAATGTATTTAAGGTGTTTAAAAACAAAAAGAAAACTGACCATAGTTTATGAAATTAATCATTTATTAGGATTATACAAAATGCCTTTTGGAAATCCAGTCCTAAGGCATTTGACTTTAATTTCTAATCTTCATTTCAGCTGTCTTGAAGGCCTGCTCATAATGAAGTGGATACTGTTCAGAAGACTAGCCCTGAAATGACTAACAAAGTTATTATCCAGAATTTGTTTCAGTGTCTTTCTTCTTTTAAAAAACATACCTGAAAAATATGCCAGTCTGAAGCCTTTTCTTGAGATGCTGTCATCCGAATGGAACCTGATCCAAACGTGGTCTTGTGAGGAGATGTATGGAGGTGGAATGGTGGAACCACAAGCTCGGTAACTTTCAATGTTCTTGTACGTTTCTATTGTTAACCAGTCCAAATTGCATCTTCTGGACCCTTGAATATCAAAATCCTGAAAACTAAAAAAAAAAAAAAAAGTCAGAAAAGACAATTTAAAAAAGTAATTGGAGGGAAATTTCATAATAGTACTTCTTTTCCAAAACAATGCTAAATCCAGGTGATAGTTAGCTGGCACTTTTTTCTTTTTCTTCTGTGTATGTAGGAGGATCCACATCTAATTCAGAACATTCTAAACTGTTAAGGAACACCTCTATGTAATGTGCTGAATGGAAGTATAAACAGAGATAGTAGGCTTTGTGTTAGACAGATTTGTTCATCTGCTTGCTCAATGGAAAGTTTATAGCTTATATTGTCTGTAGAGCAAACTGCAAATGGGTACAAAGTAAAAAAACTTAAAAATGAGCAAACATACACTTTCAGTGAAAAGTCCTTGACTTTGGGAATACTTTTTTACATAAATCACTTTGCAATCAAACATTATCATACAGTTCACAAACACAGGCACAGAGCAAAAAAGTCAAATAAGGACACATATACAATCAGCCACTACTTAGGAAAAAACAAAACCCAAAACATCTTTTTCCAACTGAACATGGCTAACAAGTAAAAATCTGGCTTTATCTTACAATCTTTGCCTAAGGAAATAAATTTCGCTATAACAAGCTAGTTCCTCTTTAAATTATTAAGAATACCTAACAAAGACTGACAATTTGCTTCTGACTGTTCAGTATTATGAACAATGTCTTCAAGGATCTTTGTACATGGACTTTGTACACATGAGCAAGTATTTCTGTAGGACAAACTTTTCTAGTAGTAGAAAAGACAGGATTCCTCTTTAAATTTGATAGACACAGACAAAATGTTTATACTAATTCACAATTACACCACGTGTGTATCAAACTACTGTATACTCTACAACTGGCAAAATGAGTGGTTATTTTTTTAAATAACATGTTGCCAATTACCCTGGACAAAAGAGATTTACCATTATTCTATTTTGCATTTCCTTACTTACTAAGACTGAAATACTCCCCCCTAAATTTACTAGTTATTTCTATTTCTTTTCTTGTGAATTGTCTTCTTACACATTTTTCATCCTTCTTCTTCTCTAAGAATGCTCTATAAATTATAGATATAATGTACACTCGACTGTAACACAAATGTGTTCATCTGCCCAACAGTGGGTGTGGCAGGTCTTTCTCATATTAGTTACTACTGGGTGTGTGAAATGGCATCTTTCACTGTGGTTTTGTGTGTGCTTCCCTGAAGACCAATTCCATTAAATATCTTTTCATCTCACATATTAGAAGAAGTGCCTGTTCAAATCTTTGGCCATTAAAAAAATTGCACTGTTTTCTGGAGTTACAAAAATTCCTTTTATAATCTGGATTCCGGTCCTCTGATAGATGTGTATATTCTAATACTTTCTTCAGTCTGTGGTTTGCCTTATTTTCTTAACATAATCTTTTAATGAGCAGAAGTTTTTAATTTTGGTTTTGATAAAGTCTAATTTAATATTTTTCCTTTGTGGTTGGTACTTTTAGTGTTCTAAAATTCCTTTGCCTACTCCAAGATCCCAAAGGTATTTACAATACCTTTTTTTATGTTTTAGGGGTTTAACTTTTACATTATACCTAGGACTTACCTTCAATTAATTTTTGTGTTCTTGAGTAGGGCTTAAGACTTTTTTCCTTACATGTATATAGAACATAGTTAACTTTTGTTCTATCACACAGTTAAATTGCTGTCTGATCTCCTTGAACTTGTGGAAGTTTGGTTTTACATTGTTAGAGTGGATTCGTTTTGGCTTTCCTTTTAATCTTGGGAAAAAAATCTTAGCCTTAGGACATTCTCTTTACCTGAACAGTCTGACACTTTCTAGAATTTCAATAAAAACCCTAACATATTGACCAAACCCCTTTGACTCAGTGAGTTTCAAACTATAAACTGTCTCCCCTATAATGGACAGAATCAAACTCTGAACTCTGCCTGTACTATGGTACACAGTGGAGAAGTCCTTGCAGAGCCATTTCAGTCTTCTAGCTCTTACTTTCCACCAACTTTCTGGAGTCTCCTTCAAGTACGCAAAGTTCATGGGTCTTCCCAGAACTTGGACAGAATTTATAAACAGGAGGAAAGGGTTTCCACTTTGGCTCTCTTCTATCCAAGATTTGCCTTTTCAATTTCCATCCACTTTGGCAGCCTCAATTATATCTTCTTGACATCTCAAGCTGACAAGACCATGGCGATTTGCTTCAGTTCGAGTCACTGTATGTTGTACAGCCTGGCAGAATCTTCAGGTTGTTGGTAGAAAACAAGCTTACCTCACTCTGTGTGGTTTCTTCTTTCAAAGGCAGAATTCTCTCCAGTTTGTCCCAGAATTTAATTTAATTACCATTCAGCGCCTTCAAACAGCCTTTTTTTGTATTTTATCTAAAATTAATAATTGTTGCTTAGAGGAGGACTACTCCAATTCGACCTAGAGAATCCATACAATGGTTTTAATTAACTAAAATGTCTAACAGGATGCTTCAGGTTCTGGAAATAGAAAGGAGGCAGAGAGCAGTGACTGAACTTTCAAAGCCTTTTGCCTGGAGACTTCAGTTATAGCTATAATAACTAAATCTTATTTATAAAAACCACTCCATTAACCCTTTCTCTCCAACTGTAAACACACATTGTTTAGGCAAATAATTCCAAAACAATATGCTCAAATCCTTTGGGCCATTGTTCACTTTGATCAATTCCTAGGTATGTCCCGCTGGCCTGGAGCACAGCATTCCCTTGTCAGCAAGCACAAGCTCTCTATACCACTTGGCAGTCGATTAAAAGGGAAGTATAAGAATACAGAATCTGATTTCTGGTGTTACCTATGTTACTAAAAGTCAAAAACATACAAAATCCTCATGAGTAAATGTTGAAATATATTTTTAAATATTGGAGTATGAGTTGTCACTTCCTTTTGTTTTTTTTTAATAACAAAATGCTGGAGAGTTATATCATTGCTGATGTTGAAATGTTAAGTGTAAAAACACACAATTAGCTAACATAAACTAGATTTTAGATTCACTGTGAGGTTTTCACCCTTCTTTCCATAGCACTTTTGGTATCAAGCTAGTAGCTTTCTTTTTGACCATTAGAAAAAGAGAAAAAGAAGCAAATGAACCTCACTACCAAATTCTTTTTTACTTGTATTTGTTTAAATATTTTATTTGTTTTGTTACTGTGAAGTTATGTTAAATAGCACTAGCTTTCTACTTGAGAAAGACCAATCTGGTTATCATTTACTTGTCATTTGGATTGTTTTAGACTTTCTGTTGTATATCTTCTGGCCCCTCGAGTACTCCCACAGGCAAAAGATATTTTTTTTATAATCTTTCCTCTTGCACTGTCTCCTGAGATCCCTTCTGAAGCTTAAGAGTAGCTGGCAAATGGACTTGAGAAAACTGGCTTGAATTAGATCATAATCATGTGTGATCCCATCACAAGTTCACTGGAATTTCTGTTGCAGGAAAGACAATCTTTCCTATTGTAAATCCTCCCTTTTTAAATGTATATATATTTTGAAAAATATGAATAAGCATAACATTTAGAAAAGGATTCATAATGGCACAGACATTGTCTAGAACAAGAAATAATCAGCAAACACCTGTGTATTTCTCTATTCGGTTTGGTTTGCTAATATTTCATTTAGGATTTTTAAATGCACTCATAAGTGGAATAGTTTACAGAATTTTTTTTTGAACATTTAGCAACAGCATTATTTGTTCAAATAGTTTCATCAGCAAACCATCTTTAGAGTTCTTTAATAGCAGTCAACAAAATGCATTTCTTGGACTATTGTTTTGTTAGGTGTTGACATATTATATACTGATATTTCTTGGATTTTGAATGTTTGGATAATGGTGGGTAAAACAAGGGAAAATAAAATTTGTCATCTCAAAAAATATCAAATTTTAATATGCATATATTAGATGAACATAAGTACATTATAATTAAAATACTATGCTAAATTATGAATATGCAATGGGAGCTACAGGACATAGCATTTCTCAAAATACTGATCAAGAACTCTTTTTCAGATAATGAGTCATATTTGGGGAAAGAAAAGGGGAGGGAGGAGGGGAAGGAAGGAAGGAAGGAAGGAAGGAAGGAAAAGAAGAACTGCAGAGCTTATATTATTTTCCAATGGATTAAAAGAAGTTAACAGGTTTTTCATGCTGTACAACAGTTTAGCTAACAAAGCACTGCTGACACAGCTGTGCAAACATACAGAATACAGATTGACTACTGAGATTTTAGTTTCTTCTTCCTTTCTGGTTTGATCAGCTTTTCCAAAAGTCAGTTTTGATCTTTTAAATATTCTTTTTTTTTTTTTGTGGTACTGGGGCTTGAACTCAGGGCTTTCACCTTGAGCCACTCTACCAGCCCTGTTTTTGTGAAAGGTTTTTTGAGATAGGGTCTAGTGAACTATTTGAGAGGGCTGGCTTTGAATCATGATCCTCCTGATCTCTGCCTCCTGAGTAGCTAGGATTACAGGTGTGAGCCACTGGTGCCTGGCTGATCTTTTAAATTTTCTTAGAAATGATTCACTTCATATTAATAGTAAAATTTATTACTACAAAGCTATATATAATACTTGCATAGGATTCAAAATTTGTCACACCTGTGGTCTTGAAATTCACTTGAATTTCTATGTAAACAAACATATACTGGAAAATAAGGAAAGTTTTGTCTCTTCTGTTTCATTTTTAAAATTGCTAACAATTTGTAGTACTGTGCCAGACTAGAGCTCTCATCCAACCAGTGAAAACTCACATCGTTGTCTTGGTTCTTGGTGCTGAAATTAACTCTGACATTAAGTTTGCTCCTTAAAACTTTCTAACAGACATCCTTTATCACGTTAAAGAAATATACAAAACTATTTAGGCCTAGAGTCTTATTTTGAATACTGATTCAACTTCTTTAATGGCTATTGATTTCATCAGCTTTCAAGTTCTTCTCCAACTACTACTTTTGAAAATATACATACATTTGATAGAAAATGACCTGTGATGGT